TCCCTCCCTCGAGGGATAACACTCTCAATCCCTGTCTCCTTGGGTTGGAAAGTGATACGTCCATTCCGGCAGATTTAAACTCGGCAGGGAACGTGACGTGTGATTGATTATGCATGTAGGAGCTTGGAATGTCAAATGACACCTGCCAACTGTTTTAACTTCAAAGGGATAGTGGTAGAGACAGAGATAAGTATACAGAATGCTCAAAGAAATACATATATACAGCTAGATATACAATAAGTCACTAGAATCATCAATCCTCATAATGACACCCTTTCGCTCAAAATTAACGTAACCCATGCGCTGTGCCACAGCTTCCACAATTGTTCGGTACATATAAAAATATCATTAAAAAGCATGAACTTTCCTAAACGCTCTCTTGGCATCGTGAACATAAATAGCACGGTATTTCCCGAAGCCTGTCAATAGGGGATAAAATCAAATTGCATTCGATCTATGACGGTCAGCAGATGCAATCTAGACTCCGGAGTAACACAAGCAGACATACCGAGGAATTGGTTCCAACCTTCATTCTCATCAATCTGGCTCGCCCAATATTGCTCCAAAAACCTTAAGGACTGTAGCACATTCGGTACCCGAATCGTGTCATGTAAACAGGAGAGCAATTGGCGCACTTTCTCCCGGTCTTCATCCCCTGCCTCGCAGCCTGCAATGAATAACGGTGTGGTAAGCATGGTCCATGGACTTAGCCCCGCCGAGGGTCCAATTTGAGCAGTACATTCCAAGATCCGCTTGACAGATGCTTGGACCTCCGGTGACGAGGCTGGTGTTTTCTTCAACCGACGATAGATCTGAATGAGTGCACTATGCTGGAAAGCTTCATTGCATAGAACGAATTGACGAATGTACTCGCTTGAGAGTCCTTCCACCACCCCTGGATAGAATGCAGGCTGTGAAACAACTTCCTGATCCATCAAGCGCCGAACGGACGACTCGAGAACCGCGGCTTCATGGTGAACGCTGAATTCGTCTCCCTGTGTCACGCCACCGCATTGTTGGCTCGGGTGACTTCGCCAAGCAGCGGCCCCTATCCCACGAAAGACTGCAGCGAGATTAACTGTGAAGCCCCAGTAATCGTCAAGGTAGTCAGGAGAGTCGTGCTGGTTGGCAGTACTCAAGATGCTTTGATCTGCAACGTCACCAATAGGTGGCCCATTGCCTGTTAACGCGGTGAGAGAAACAATCGATCGGTACCACCGATTCAAGTACCTCCTGAACCCATCCGACGACCGCGGCGACAACGCTCCTCGGGTATCACAAGCATCCATCAACGCCCTAGCTCCTTCAATATGAGCCCTCCATGAGTTAGGGTGAATAGCCCCCGAATGAATCTCCGCGAGACAGAGTGTTCGTGCGGTCGCCAACAGCGCATCCGAACCCTTGACGTTAGGGTCCTGAAGCTCCGCACGAAAATGTTCTAAACTGAGGGCCATAAACCGTGCTATTTCTGGTGCAGACTTGACGTTTTCCGACTGATTGTGTAGGGCTTGTAGGTGGATCGCCGATAGGGCCATCGTCGCATATAGTAAAGACGGAGTCTGGAGGGCCATCGGAACAAGCATCTGGCAGATATCTCTTTGCATGCCCGTATGGCAGGCAGTGATTTGTGAGGCATCATTAAGGAAATGGTTAAGAAGAGCCTTCTGGTCAGACGATAACGAGGCAAACGGATCGACGGGTCGGGCGAGAGCAAGAGGTTCAGGAGGCGGAGGTGAAGCTTTTGTAGTATAGATGAATTCGCCGGGAGAGTACTCTAGATCGACTCGTTAGACCCAAGAGCTCCAATAGTTGAAGAGAATGGCCGAGTAAGAGTGGCAGATGTAACATACCGAGTTTCTGCATGCCCCCATGTCCCACACAGGCCCCGAACCTCGAGCGCGAAAAGGCCCTCCCTCCCCACTGCAGCTGCATTGCATATCGGCACTGCGCTCCAGCCGTCTTGCATCGTCCACATATCGGTCGCTGTTCGTCACATTTTTGCCGTCGAGCTTTACATCGTTTGCAACCAGTAAATGATCGAGACATGGGATCGGATCTTGTGTGGTCGATTGATGGATGCCTAATTTCTCTGATCCCTTTTTTTCCTTTTTTTGGCTTTTCCCGTTATCTTCAATCTCTGGAACCCTTCTCCGTTTGGTTACCTCGGTAGTTCCTGGTGGCGTCAGAATATGCCCGATGCCGTGCAGAAAATCGCTTTAGATCAACAGGAAAGAGGAGTGAGTAATTTAGCAAAATGTCGGCTCTCTGTGCGCAACGAGAGTGTGGCACGAAACCCCGTGGAGGGTCGCTCGTATCAGTGGAAATGGAGATAACGGAACTGCGGAGTGCTGTATAGCGGCCGATCATCCAGGCCAAAGATCCACCGGAGGGTCGTGCCTACTGTACGGCGTATGTACAGGGACACTATGGAGAAGTCGTGGAGAGGATCCAAGATTGCTTTACCCCGGAGAAGAATTCCGTGTTCCCTGGTCTGGAATTTAAGGAGACCTCAAAATTTAGAACGGCTTACCACAAGTCCTTCTCTAATGCGGGGTTGTGGTTCCGAAGTTTCACAAACCGGAGGCGAAATTCTGTCGCCACCAGCCGATTATAACCCTATTTGACTGCATTCCAACACATGGCATATCCTTCTAGAACGTCAAGGAAGATTACTTGTCCCACAAAACCACCTCGCTAAATGCACAGTAGTAATGATGACACTTGGCCGACGTACGCTGCGCAATCAATACAATGCAGCTGATTATCTCTATATCGGCAAAGTCCAAAGCAAGCACCTAAGTAACAGACACTGGGTAATATAATCACAACTAACAAGCATCCCGCGACGAGCAATCAGTCGTCGAAGGTATACCGAAGCCACTCGCCCACGGCTCGCAGACTCTCCCAACGTACCGACTCGTCCTTGTCGGCCATCAGCCCCATAACTCGCGCCTTCAACCCTAACCTTTCCAGCTGTGCCCGTCGTCCCGGCAGCTCCTTCACTAGATGGCCCACGTCGTTACAGGCGATCGCGAGAACCTGCTTGTCATTGTCCCACTCCTTAGAGATAATCTCCGCTAGCTTCTTAGGAAGGTTAGCATCATCCAGAATGCGACGGGCATTTTCCTTCCAAAACGTAGGGTTACGGTGGGGCGGAGACCAGCGGAGGTGTCCGGACTGCAACTCCGCCGCGTACTGATCAAACGTAGTTTGAGTTTTGGTGTACTCGTCGAGCATGTCAGTGAGAGTCTTCAGATCCTCAAGAAGGTCGGGATCGGTCAAATGACGACCCGAAAGGTTCGAAAGAAGGGCGGGGAGGCGGACAAAAACTGCGACCGGCAATAGGGTTGTGCGGTTGGAAGAAAGGAGGTTGTTGAGGGTTGCGAGTAGAAGCCGGGTTGTCTTCTCCTTCGGCGACAGGCGCAGGAGGTAAGTATACAGCTGAAGGAATTCGTGGTCCCTGCGGACGTCAGTAGAGTTCGGTCAGGGGGCAATATGTTGGACCAGACGGAGACTACGTACGCTTGAAGGTCATCCCCAATTAGCGCGCCTTCAAAGCTCAGCTGCCAAATAACAAGGAGGACCCGATACAGAAGTTGAAGCCCAACACCGCCGGAGAGACCTGGCTCGATCGCCCGCGAACTGCCAGCTACGGTGCTGGAATTGGTATCTTTGCCTCCGGTCGCCGCACGTAGAATCTCGATCAAGGGGTCAACCGTTTCTCTCCTCTGCTTCCAGAAGATCTCCCGAGACCTAGATGTACGAAGCAACACCGACAACTCCTGGACACCAATGTCTTGCAACCCACTGTCCTGGTTTTGGGTCAGACTGGAGAGGTAAGTGTACAGTTGTGGAAGTGCCTCTTCATCTCGGGCCGCAGACTTAGAGGAAGACACGAGGCTGATAGAGACAAGGTTTGTCAGGAAGGTAGAAGTGAGCAACGGAATAGGATCCTCGGCATTCGTAGAATGACGCAAGAGAGGGAGAAATGGCTTGTAGGGATCGGGATGCGCAATTAGGGCAGATGAGAGCGCTGGAACATCTACAGTACCGAGTAATCGGGTCAGCACAACTTCGATACGTTTGCGCATACTTTAAGATCAAACATGGACCCACCATTGATCAAGTCCGCTGCCAGCACCAGGATATACTGTACGATATCGGTCCTCCTAGAAGCGGAGTCCAGAACACTCTTGGCGTCAGCACTTCCAGAGAGCAGGCTTACATAGCCAGAGATATCGCCCTCTACAGTCTGACGTCTCTGATCTTTGCGAACCTTGTCCACTGCCTTGATCTTTTTCAAATGATCATCGGTGATGTTACCAGCTCGAACGGCTCCCTCCCATGGGATGGGCCGAGCTCGGATGTTGTTCTGGAGAGAGCTGAGGTACATGGGCGGCTCCAAAGGCATGGTCGACATAGTGCCGCTATTGCAAGGTAGAAATGGAGCCTACCCGGAACAGCGAGAAGAGAAGAAAACCGGGACGTTGGGGAGGGGTGGACTGAAGATGAAGAGAGAGGGCTGGAGATCTATGATGATCGAGTGTTACGAATGGAGGAAAGCTCCGGTGTTCACGTTGTTCCCCATCCTCCCGCCAAGACCCATACTAAACCCCATTCAATCAGTAATCTCTCCCACCTTCTCGTCCACGCAAGCCAGACACCAGCGTTCGTATTCCTGCTACGTGGTTGCACTCGTCCTTGTCTGTTTCATGTCTCTTTATATCTTCTAGTCTAGCCTCTAGTCTCTCGTTTTGTTTTCAACTCCTTCGCTCCCTATATCACTCCACCCCCACGCTCATTTTCCCCGCAGGAAAGGCAGCAATCATCGCTCGGCCTAGTTCCACTTCCTCTGTAGTGCGTGTGACGACAGGCAAATATCTAACCACTTCATCATTGTCAAAGACCACCGCCTTTCATGCCCGAGAGCCTGTCGGACTTGCTGCTAGAAGTAGCTGGTTCATACCTCTGATTGAGACACCCCCAACCGCATTATCATTATGGCACAACCAAAATGGAAGGTTGGATCCTTCCTGCAGCAGGCTGTCGCCGGTGTTGAATCGAAATTGGATTTGATCCTGGCCGATGAGGACCAGCGCCAACAGCTACAGCCAAAACCAAGCACGGCGACGAAGAACCAGACTGGCAGTATGGATTTTCCGAATTGATTTGTGCTCAATATATTCCGTCGCATACTAACGGATCTAGATCTTTCGCGAAGTTCATCAAATGCGCGGAAAAATGATCGCCTTCAGGAGCGTCTGGCTCGCGCTGTTGTCAAATCGAATACCAATGCCAATCCCGCTTCTCAATCCTCAAGTCGAGTCCCCTCTCCCGTCACTAGTCCGGTTTCGAGCAATGGCGCGCGGTCGAGCATGGACATTGAGTCGAATCTTGGACGTAGCAGCCTCAATCTCGAAGAAAGTGCCCAGAACATTACTCCTACCGATGAATCTTCCTCAATAGCAGCCTCCAGAACAAGTCATGACAGCAACCCACCACGAAACTCAAGAGATATTGTCGCCTCGCGCGCATCGAATGAAGTTTCCGAATCGCAAGAGGCTAACTCAGAGAGGGGTACTGAAGTTGTACAAGAAAATGGCGTTGAACCTAAGGTACAGGAAACCGAAGCTGACAAACCACGTTCATCTGAGGACCTTGCCCAGAACACTGCACCTGATTCGAGTGATATCATCGAACCTGTCTCCAGCGATGCGGACAAAACTATCGCACAATTACAGGCAGAACACAAGGCAGCCGAGTCACGCTGGCAAGCAGAAATGTACGAACATATTGAGCGAATTGACGCATTACAATCGAAGCTGAAGTATTTGACTAAAGAAGCTGCTGAAGCCGCCAAGAAAGCGGGGGCGGCGGAAGCACCTGGAAGTATGGAGAGGCAGCTCCGAGAGAAGGACGAGAAGATCGCATTGTTGCTCGAAGAAGGACAGAAACTTTCGAAATCCGAGATGGACCATCGTACGGCGATCAAGAAACTTCGGCAGCAATTGGCGGAGAATTCGAAAGTACAAACTGAAAATCACAAGAAAACAGAAAAACTGGAACGAGATCTGGCCAACGCTGAGGCCAGGGCTAAGCGGGCTGAAGCTGCCGAAAAGCGAGCCAATGAAACACTGTCCTCTCATTCAAAAAACTCACGAGATCTTGAAGCAGTCACAGCGGAGCGAGATGCATTGGGTCAAACGATTCAGGAAATGAAAGGTCAACTTGCCAGAGCAGTTGCGCGGGCTGAGGCAGCTGAAGCCAAAGCTCAGTCTGATGCGCTGGAGCAGGAAAAGCGCCATGCGGCTGAGCTGGAAGAAGAACTGGCAAGCATCAAGGCCGAGCGTGATGAGAGTGAGGAAACTCTGAAGATAGAGATACGCGACCTCAAGAGTACCATCGAGCAGGAGAAGGAAAGGGCACGAGTACTGGAGGTCGAACTAAAGAACGAGCAATCCGTCTTGGAGAGCAAGATGGAGTCTCTTCGCTCTAGAGCGGAAGAGGCTTCATCCGGGGTAGCTGGTGATGCTCAAGCAAAGCTTCTTCGCCAGATCGAGACATTGCAGACGCAGTATGCTGTAGCCAGTGAAAATTGGCAGGCGTTGGAGGGTTCATTACTTGCGCGCTTAGCGAACGTAGAGAAAGAACGAGACGAAGCCACACGCCGAGAGGGAGACCTACGGCGGAGAGTTCGGGAAGTGGTAAGAATGATTTGCTCTAACTCAATCTTTTTTGTGAGGAAATAGAGACTAACATATACGTACAGAACCTCAAAGCTAAAAGGGCTGAGGAAGACCTAGAAGACGCAAAAGAGGTCGAGCATGATCTTGAAAACAAACTAGAGGAACGCATGCAGGAGCTGCAAAAACTGGAGCAGAAACTTCACAAGGCTGCAGACGATTTAGTCTCGGCACAGAAAGACTTCGATGAACAGAAGAAAGTGTGCGATGCAACGTGGGCACAGAAGCTGGAGGAAGAACGAGTGAAATGGCGCGAGCAGGTTGTGCCTCCTGCCATCTTCACACAGCCACAACGCACCGAGTCACCAGTAGCGTACAGTCGCCGACCGAGTGCCCTGGAGCCTGTAGGTTCTCTCACTGACTTACGTTCAAGTCGCCGGTCCTCGACTCTGCCCATGACATCGCCAGAAGTAGGCACACCGACACGACAGAACTCATTCCCATCTACGTCTGGTCTCCTTTCACCTCCGACACACAGCGCACCCTTCTCGCAATTTACGGACACCCCTTCAATTAGTTTCGAACCAGATGAGTTCTCTGCCCGGCCGGGCACGCCATCCGCGTTTGGCGGAGCACTGACCCAAAACTCCCGCGGAATCAATGACATTATCTCGGAATCCACGGTTGGTGCTGGTCCATCGGTCCAGCTGGTGGAGCGTATGAGTGCGACGGTTCGCCGATTGGAAAGCGAACGAGCTGCCACGAAAGATGAGCTTGCTCGTATCGTAAGCCAGCGCGATGAAGCCCGCCAACAAGTTGTGGATCTGATGCGAGAATCTGAGGAGAAAAAGACAGTAGACGCCCGTATCCAAGAACTAGAGAAGCGACATGCCGAGCTAGAGGAGCGTTACGAGACTACTCTTGAGCTGCTAGGGGAAAAGAGTGAACAAGTGGAAGAGCTCCAGGCTGATATTGCCGAAGTCAAGAAAATCTACCGCGAGCTGGTGGATAGTACCATGAAATGAGAGCTTATAGACGTCTCTTGAAAGGAAATCTTTTTTACTTCTGTACATAGTATTTGCCTGGACATTCGATACCGATTAGACGATGTTATGCGAAACAGGACTTTTTCAGAAAAGAATATAATATCTCTTTTAATTGCTAATGTTGGACCATTATTATGGGCCGTGGAAGGCTCCGGATATTCATAACCATGTTTTACGTCTCTTAGATTTCTATACCCTCCATTTCTGCAGTCTGCCGAATATATGTTCGAACCTTAACGAGGTTAGTTATATAGCCAGAGAACGTGTCTAAAGGATGTTTTGCGGGGGGAGAATGGAATACTTACACTTGTATCTGGCGCCATATCAATAGCCAAAGTGCCATTGACGTCCTTTTTATCCGTCTCAGCACCAGCCTTAAGTAGAGTGATCGCAGCTTCACCGTGGCCCTCGGAGATAGCATGGTGCAGAGCAGTCAGACCGTCCACATCCGCGGCATTGATGGGACTTTTCCCATCTTGGAGAAGAACCTTAATGATGGGTGACGATCCGATAGCTGCAGCACGATGAAGTGCTAGTTGCCCGCGCTTATCCTTCACTCTGGCGCTGCATTTATTGGCTATTAAGGTGCGAACGGTGGAAAGGCTGGCTTTGGAGGTTGCGAAATGGAGAGCATTCTGGAATTAGATTTACAGTTAGTGAGCTGACAAAACTCCGGTTGATAGAATTAGACGGACCTGTCCAGAGTTACTCGTCACATTTACGTCTGCGCCCTTCTTCAAGAGTAGGTCGACGATGGGATCTCCTTCGGCGTTCTTTAGGCTAGCTGCGATCATTAATGGGGTCCAGCCTGAACCATCCTGTGATACAAAGTAAGTGGCTGATCATTAATGACTGAGGTTACCTCTGTGTGTATAGCAGTCACAGTAAGTAAGAGTAGGAGACTACCTCAACATCTGGATCGAAGTTCTTGGTGGCGACTAATAGCTCCACGATAGGAAGCCGATTGTATGCTACAGCCCAGTGGATGGGGAGACGGTCGTCATCATCTTTGACATTCGCAAGCTTCGGATTTGCCTATTAAGCCTGAGAGTAAGCAACCATGATACACTCCGGTGATTGCGACTGCTCTGGCCAGAAAAGGGAGATAGGCAGCTCCGGATGATGCGGGGCAGCACTTACGTTCAGAAGTGACTCGGCCACCTGAGCTGTCAACTGTTCGTAAGTAAGATAATATCATAGACTACCAAGTTGCGCTTACTCTTTCCCTCTCGAGCGGCCTCATGTAGAGGAAACTTGGCATCGTGCTGGGGGTCCATGATGATGTGCTATAGAATGTATAGATGCGGGTCGGAGAGCTGCTCACGATAAGATCGGAGCTATTGGTGGAGGGGGAGCTTTGCCGTCGACACCTGGAACATGCCTTACCGCCTCAGGCAGATCTTCTGTAGCTCTCCGCCAAAAGTCAAAAAAGGAACCGCAACCAAACCTCCGACTCGTCATCGCCAATCTTTACTCTCCTCCAACGATCCTTGCCACCAGTTCGCGCGTGTTGTCCAATCGCTTAACAACAAATTTGAATGAGGCAGTAATTTGCTGTTATCGACAACCACCCGTCAGAACCCCTTTGCCCGGGGTTCCAGACGCGAACGACACGTTCTTTCGCCTACCATCTCGCTGTAGGCGATCCAAGCCATTTGTCGTTCTACAATCCCAATCTACGATCTCAAAAATATCACAAGTATGGACGTTATCCCGTCGACTACGCCCGAAGAGGCCGTGCGCAGATCCGCAAAGAGGACTGCTGAACTTTTCGGCGCGGATTATCTGATGGTCACACCCTCGACTGGAGATGGATCGATTGGTGTTTCTTACAGACGGAAAGTGGAATATGAACATGTGAAGGAACTCCCGCCAGCTCTAGCAGAGAAGCAAGCCAAAGCAGCCGCCGGGCGCACGAAACGTCCCAAAATCCAAGCCCAGGCGAAGGCGCCTGTAGATGGCAGCGGCGCCTCAATGGCCCTGGTGAAGAAAGCTCAAGGCCCGGCTGCTGGTGGCCTTGGCAATGAAGACCAACCCAAGAGCCTGATACAGCGACCCTCCGCGACGCGACAACAGAGACCCGACTGGCACGCACCATGGAAGCTGATGAGAGTGATCTCTGGACATTTAGGATGGGTGCGAAGTCTGGCGGTGGAGCCGAACAACGAGTGGTTTGCCAGTGGCGCTGGTGACCGAACGATAAAAATTTGGAATCTGGCGACTGGCGCTCTGCGCCTGACTCTTACGGGTCACATTTCTACCGTTCGCGGGCTGGCGGTGTCTCCTCGGCATCCTTATCTTTTCTCGTGCGGAGAGGACAAGATGGTGAAATGTTGGGATCTGGAGACTAATAAGGTTATTCGTCATTACCACGGTCACCTAAGTGGTGTATATACGCTTGCTCTACACCCTCGCCTCGACCTGCTGGTCACTGGTGGTCGAGACGGCGTTGCCCGAGTGTGGGATATGCGAACGAGGAGTAATGTTCACGTTTTATCTGGCCATAAAGGAACTGTTGCCGATGTTAAGTGCCAGGAAGCTGATCCACAAATCATTACTGGTTCCCTGGACGCCACCGTTCGTCTCTGGGATCTTGCAGCTGGAAAGTCAATGGGTGTTCTAACCCACCACAAGAAGGGTGTCCGAAACCTTGCTATCCATCCCCGGGAATTTACATTCGCCAGTGCCAGCACAGGAAGCATCAAGCAATGGAAGTGTCCAGAGGGTGACTTCATGCAAAACTTCGAGGGTCATAATGCTGTCATTAACTCTCTCGCCGTGAACGAAGACAACGTTCTCTTCTCCGGTGGCGACAACGGTTCCATGTCTTTCTGGGACTGGAAGACCGGATACCGTTTCCAGTCGATCGATACCATGGCCCAACCCGGTTCGCTCGATGCCGAGGCAGGCATCATGGCTGCCACGTTCGACCGGACTGGTCTGCGTCTGATCACTGGTGAGGCAGATAAGACCATCAAGATCTGGAAGCCAGATGATGAGGCTACACCTGAGTCGCACCCTGTGACTTGGGCTCCCACTCTTGGCAGACAGAGATATTAGGTTGGTGTTGTTGTTGGCCGTCTGTCATTTTTATACCCTTCATTGGTCTGGATCTGATATAGGAATCGGGCATGTTTACTTCACGCACTTATGGAGTTTAGCGTTCGAGATGTACTGTTTGTTGTCTGTGACTAGTACTGGGATTTGGTCAGGTTTATAAAAAGGACTTTACTCTTGTTGTGTCATATTAAGCTTTGAACATTCCGAGACTTGCTCGATTTATGCTGTTAAACTTGGTTTATCTTCAGGACTTGTAGTCGACATGTCGCTTGACGTACAAGTGGGTATCATTATTCGATTAATAAATCACTTTGTAGAATACATAGCCCAAACGATGAGGACATCGGACACAGAAATCATACATGTGTGTACATTACCAATCATAGGATGCAGGAGCTTGTTGGTCCGAAAGGCTGTCGTCTTGCTCGTACAGAGAATTACTGATCCGTGCCCAGCCCTAACCCCTTTGCCTCTATATCTTCCCGGAAAGCAGCCCTTACGTCTTCAGCTGCCACCCTCAGCCTAACTTTACCACTTCTGTCCCCTCTACTGGGGATGGCAGAGCTTCCCAGAGGGCCTTTCGTCGCCGGTCCGTGCTCCACGGCAAGAACTCCAGAATTCATGAGTTCCATAGCCGCAAAGCCTAGAGCACGCACGCGAGCACCACTCCCACCACTGAGTAGGTATTCTTTGATGCCTGCACCAGCCGCACCAGCGACTGCGACCGCAGCGTCTGCAATCCGCTTCGCTTCGTCGAGTACATCGCCAAAGGTTGATTCGGTGACCCCGGTTCTTTTCACACGAGCCAAGAGAGCGGCAAGGAAAAGCTTCGCGGAGAGTGGGAGACAGCGTAGGGATTGCTGAAGCGGGGTTGAGGTTGCTTCCTGGATGGCTTGTTTGATTGTGGCGATAGTGACACGTCCTTGTTTCTGTGGCGGTTGAGCTTTTGGCGGCATGGACTGCTTGTTGTTTGATCTCTCCTTTCTTGCAGGAGTCTTGCTAGGTGTTGGTGGCATGGATTCGGTTTCGTCTGCGTTGCCATCTTCTAGAATCGGTTCCAGTTTTGCGGCCTCGCTGGCCTGTTCGGCAATCTCTACTGCTCGGCGGCAGATGTCTAATGCGCGTCGAGCGTCGCCACTAACAGCAGCCACCTTTCGGCTTGCAAATTGGATGGCGTCTGCGTCGACTATGTTTCCTGGGATGTTGGCCAGGCGGGTGCTTATGATTTCCATGAGATCCGTGTGTTTGTAGCCGGGGAATGTGATACGAGTAAGACCCAGGCGACTGGAAATCTTGTTGCTTAGTGTTCGCTCAGGGAGGTCCATAGTGTTTGCGACAGCAAGCACAATGAGGCGGGAGTGGCGGAGAGCAGGCCAGTTAAAGAAATTGTACATCACAGACTGGTTTTTAGTTACCAGTTGGTCAAGTTCATCCATGAGAACAACGCATGAGACACGTCGAGGTGATGGATGTGAAAATTCCCTCTCGAGAAGATCAAGCGCATGGGAAGGAGACACCCTGTCGCCCTTCAAGGCTTCCCAAAGCAATGAGTACGACTGATGTGGATCGGTGACTTTCATGCCATTGATCTCAACGAAAATAAAGTCGTCCATCTCTTCTGCAAGCACGGCTGCGTTCAACTGTGCGACCACCTCGCGGACTGTTGCCGTCTTGCCAGTTCCAGGTGTACCCGAAATATAAATACAAGTTCCGGTGCCTTCCATGATGGCAGCGCTAAGGTGGTTGTACACAGTGTCGAATTCAGCCTTCCGGCATGGTAGTGAGGTAGGTACCGTGGAGACGTGTAGAAGAGTTCGTGCCTGGCGATATGGAGAAGCGAAATGAGATGGAGAAAGTATACGAGTGCCTAACGGGGTAAACTCGAGGGGTTTTTTGACAACAATTCTGTGGAACATGCCATTAGCACCGGGATTGCCTATGTCTAATCGGATATATGTCACAAACCTCTTATGTGTTGGGGTGGTCAGAGCTTTTTGGCGTCGTGACTGTGGTGTGGCATTCGTAGTTAATTTCTGCTTCTTTCTTGGTGTCACAGGCTGAAATTCATCATCTTCTTTGTCCTTGGCATCATCATACTGTTCCAAATGTCAGAATATCTTAATCTTCGAGCAGGGTCGGTCGGAGCTCACATCATCATCACCCTGCTTTCGCTTCTTGGCCTTTTTCAAGCCATCCTTGATCATAGCAATCAGATCGAATATCTTATCCTCCCGATAGACATTTTCCCAGACGAATTCCTCGGTGTATCTCCCTTGAAGTTGATTCACACCTCTACGGCAGACAATGCATTTGTTGTAGTCTGACAATTGTTCCTTTCCCTTCGGCGGAGCCCCATCCGGATACTTGGCGAAGAAAGCATCCTTGGACATTACCGTCGCTTTACCACTAATCGATGTGATTGGATTGATGTTGAAGTCGGCTGTAAGGTACTGCTCATTAGGCAAAGCGTCTGTTCGTCTCTTGTTCCTTGTCGACATGAATTCGTCTGGCGAAGCAAACCACATGATGTTGGCGGACTTGATCGTTTCACCGTCCGCTTCATCCTCTTCCTCTATAAATTCCGTGATGATTCCCACCCAATCTTTACCAGGCTCTGGGGATTTAAGCAGCACGACCTGACCCAATTTGCATTCAAACGAACCCATCCGGCTCCCACGATTGGTCGACGATTCTTTGCGCTGGCCCGGGAGGTGCGTCTTCGGTTTGACCTTGGTGTATCTTCTGGGGCACCCGATATAGCGTCCTCATTTTTTTCAGTAGTATCGGCAGCATATATCCATTCCCACGGAAGGTCTTCATCACCAAGCTCGTCATCAGAATCATCGCGAACAAGACCTCCTTTGGTCATCCATTGCTGGGCCTGCTTGCGCGCACTACGCCTGCGAGACTGCGGAATATCATTCTCATCTTCAATTTCTGTGGCCATCTTCTTGGAAGAAAATGGGCAAATAGTTGCTGGCGGAAGGGATGGTTTGCGACAATTGACCAGCAAACAAAAGAAGGTTGAAAATGGATCCACAACGCGTCCAAATGCGCGCAGTCCACTTTACCCCATTTCGGGTTTAGCGCCCCCATTGCTCTGTCCTGTCCAATCATACGTCTCTATCCGATCTATATAATCTTAGCTGTATACAAAGATGTATCAAACACAAATTGGAGTGATTTTCTTTATTTCGTCCCCAAAGTAGTGCAGTTAGAAATGTATAATCGAAATATTACTTCAAGCTATTAAGGAATATTGTCCGATATATTCCCAAAAATAGTAGCATCGACTGATTCAATATCACTGAATGCATTGAGCCATCCTCGTTTGGTACCAACGCCACCAACCGGCTGTTTCAGAAGCAACGGTGTTGTTTTCAATCATGGTAAACATGCTCGTGAGGGCTTTGGTGCAGGTCACAGGATTATCACCTCGTGACCAGGCACTTTCCATATTCATCATCAGCAAATATTCCTTCACTTTCACCTTCATTCCCTTATCATCCTCTGAACAAAGGAACCCTTGTCATTTACTTCCACCTCAGATCCTGCTGAGTTAGGCGTATTAACTTAAATCTTAATCTAGTTATCACATCTCTCCCTCCTCTGCCACCTTCTACTCACCCCATTCTCATCAGCTTACCCGCTGCTTTTGCGCGCTTGTTTTCAGCTATCTCTATCCGAGAGCTTCAACTCTGTTGCGAGCCTCTCCTTGATAAAAGACATGGAGTGAGTTCCCTATTCTGGTTCATCTTTCTACCTCTCACCTGAAGCAACTAGTGGCCGCCCTCCCGTCTAGTCTTTCTATGCTAACACTGTTGCAGTCACGAAACCGCGGGAGCTAAAGGTAAGACAATCTCAGCAGGAAGCAAAAGGAAATCCCTGCCCCTTACTACCTCAGGTTCTACCCAAATTAATTGTTCATTGACCGATATTCGTCCCATATAGAATGGTTGCTACCCGGTTACGGGCGGCCCACATTGAAAAGTCATGGAGGAACCACTCAAGCAAAAACTGATCAGGCTCGCATAATATTATCCAAAGATAGTATCCGGAATGAGACAGGGACACAGAAAAAACCGCGGGCCTCATATGCCGCAGTTACTGCCACAGTTACCGCAGCTCCTGTGGCCAATAGCACTGGGCGTGCTAGAGGTGCACCGAGGGCAACAAGGGGGCGTGTACAGGCTAGACGGGCATACTCTAACACCGCAGCCTCACGCCAATCGAGCAATCTTCTCCGTGACTCACCTGCCAAATCAAATTGGAGAGCTGGTAGTGAGCCGTCCGGTAAGCTCTCTTTAGTTTCGGATGCCAATAGGCTAACACAACCCTGGGTAATACTGAAGCAATTTTCAAGCTGCCTGCCTCTTTTGGCAGTTTTAAGTACGAGTAAGCACCTTCAGCTCGCTTTCCCCCATGCAAGTACTCACTATTATATGGCGTATAGGTTCTTTGGGGTAGCAAGATCAACTCTTTCAGCAAAATCCCCTGCAGCCAGCCAAGGTCGTAATGAAGTCTTCGAGGATATAAGCAAAAGAACAGGCGCCTATGTGAAACCTCCATCTTATACTGACAAGGTAGGCCATTTAGCAGTTTATTGCCAGCGAACTATAGTGTGCTAATTCACTGTAGGTCATTCAGCTATGGGGTAAACCACAAGACGTGGCTTCGGCCATAGATATAATGGAAAGGCTTCTTGCCAAATGCAATAGCTTTTTACCCACACACAAAAAGACAGAATGGGCTAAAATTAATGCCTATTCAGCAAACAAAGAAATGGGCGTTGATTTGAAGGAAAGACATGAAAATATGCTTCTGCTTTTGAGGAAAGAACCGGAATCGCCTTCAGCTTTTCCAGAGCAGGTCAGTCAGCATATTAAAATATGAACTTATATTTGCTTTTCTAACAGATCCGTTACCCAAGCTCTTTTTTTGTGGCCGAATGATGGTCCACCGATCAAGGAGTCCCTTGGAGAACAACTCGAGGCTCTCGATATCATCCGGGCGAAATTTGGCTGCCACCTCTACCGTCCAAAGGATGTCCCAGACTATATATGTGCTCTTGGTCACAGCCATGATACGATGAGACAGATCGCACAGCTTCTTAGGACCAAGTGGAGTGAGGCCGTTGCCAATAGCCATGTTAAGTCGAAGGTCTATATTTCAGAGCCTCCAGAAATCCTGAGAGACAAGATTGTCGTGGAGAACATGACTCTCTTTGCGAAGGCTTTTCTCCATGGAAAGAGGGTGAAGAGCCTTCCGTCAGAGCAGTGGCAGAATCGACGTACCTTGATACAGACAAAGAATAACGCACATATTTTAAATGCCCTTTCAAAATCCTTACAAGGTGTCTCCTTTGTCCGTGGACACTTGCGCATGCGTGTTAACCTTGGTTCGTTTGTGCTTGATGAGTATCGTATGCCCAAGGACGACAAAGCTGGGTATAGCTTTGAGGAGTTCAGAGAGATGCTATTGCATGAGCAAACAAAAGGCCGCTTGATTCCAGGGTAGGAACTACCGACTATTTATGTGTCCGAGTCATTAATATCCTACGAACAGGTTACGGGTCGGTCAAGATGAGCTCTTGGCTAGATGTTTCCAATCTACCGATCTTCTCGAGCCTTACGAAAGTACAGCCTGTTCGCTGAAAAACGCCGAGCCTGCATATTCCGTGAACTTCGAATTCCTGGGTTCAAATAATGCCCTACTTCGTCTCGAAGCGGAATTTGCGAGAAGCCCTGGGGCGCAGGACTATGAAGTAACCCAACGCCGATGGCTTAAGCCTCGCAGAAGCGGCCAGTCAAGCGACGGAAGGCCACCCCTCCAGATTTGTATCATTGATTTCGAAAGGTAGGTAATGCGTATCTTTCTTCGGTTCTACCTTACTGAGTCCTTGTTAGAGCCGACTGGCAACTTGAAATCAAATCTCTGGAGTTCTACGAGACATCTTCCATCGATGCTGCGTTGAAATCGTTTTCGCACTCTATCGCCTTCCGACGCACTACAACCATAGGTGACATTTCTGCAAAGCCTAAGAGAAAGGTGATATTTCCGAGCTCAGCACCGGTATCCAGATTTGTGGAAAAGACCTCCATCCGGTACCGATTGAAAGGCACCAAGTACATATTAGAAATAGCGAGGTACGATGAATATAGCCGCTCAAAAACGGATGCATTTCAAGGGAAAGCACCAGCACCAGCTTTTATGGCGGGTGAGATCTGTGACGTCCCGTCCACTTCCTGGGGCGCATCTATATTTGATTCCAATTGGGATAACTTGATGGGAGAGCAAGCCAATCTGTCGGTTGGACATTCCGCACGCCACAGCCCAGAGCTTCACACTTTCTTCCCTCCGAAGGCATCAGATTCGGATGACAAGAGCGTGGGCTTCTGGGAGTTTATTAGCTTAGTAAAGCGAGTGGCAGAAGTACTAGGCCCAGCGCAACACCATTTAAGCTCAGAGAATACTGCCAGGAAAATACAGGCGGGCACTGAGTCCTCGATAGTTCCTACTGCAACCAAAAGCCAACCACCCTCAAATGAATCCTCGCCCAAGCCTGACGCGAGGGGTCTTGCTGGGATGTTGGACGCCGACCTGGGCACTCTATTCTAAACAGATGAAGTTGATCTTTGTGAGAGCCACGGGTCACTAACTCATAGGCGTGTGTCCAACAATATCATGGCTCAAAGTTTAGGGTGAAAGGCCAATTTGCTTTTGCTTCGTTGCATCTTCACTTCATTGTGCGGGCTCAATGTCTCATCGACCATGTGGGTTTTAACGTGTCTTACATCTCTGCGAAAGCCTTGGAAGCATGCGATGTTTCTCAGCCGGCAAAGCAGGAGCTTACATGCGAAACGGTTGATGGTTTGCCATTGCCAACACTTACTGTAACAGATACCATTCTCTATTATTTCTGTTGACTATTTTGCCCCGACCGCTCACTGGATGATCGAACGCCTCTGCAAAGCATTTGACAGGATTTAACCACCGCCCGCAGCGGCAGCAGCAGATGATGGGGCGCCTTCGCTAAGCAACTTTTGTCTCAGGGCTAGTCATAGTTAGCTTACGGTACGCATTCGCAGGCTGAGTGCGGGCCAGTTAAAGAATAATATGGAACTATATTCAACTTACCCTCCTCGAAGAGTCTTTGCTGGGAGCCCTTTGTCTGTACAATCTTTTCCAACTCTGTGAGGTTCGTCTCTAGACTCTTAATCTTGTCCTCGTAGAACTCAATTGCCTTTTTCGCAGTCTGCTCAGAGATAGGCCATCAGCTTTTAACCCAACCCTTAAAAAAGGGGACATAAGCTCACCTTCTCCACATAGAATCCCGTTCCAACATCCACAAGCACCTTCTCCCGGTCGGCCAGCTTGCCCTTGACATACAACGAGCTTGTCAAAGGCACCAAGATATCCTCCCTTCCATCGGTCCCCCTCTTCTCAGACCCAACAACACCCTCGTTAATCGACCGCACACAATCCCGAAACTTCGACTGCGCCGCGCGCAACTTCGCATGCGACGAGGTCAAGTGTTCCAATTCCGACGAAAGACGAGTCTGGAGCGCCCGCAGCTGCGGCACCGAAAGCGAGTTGATATTCACTACCCATCCATCCCATGATTAGCTGTCCACCCCCACCCGCCAGCCATATCAGAAAGGATTCGCCGTACCTGAGCCCGCAGGAGCCTCCGATGCGGGGGTATCTTGAGGGGCCATGTTGATGTATGCAAATGGCTCTTTTCCCGTTCCCCTTATATCGTGCCAGTCCGGGTTGGGTGTATAGGAGACTGTGGATTCTAGTTAGAAGAATGATACCGGTGCGAGGGATTGCGTTCTTTTCCTCGTTCGGTTGGTAGATATCGTTTTGGTTGTGATTTGGGATTGATTATGCCCGCCGCGAGAGCAGGTTGCCTTTTTGGGTATGGTGGGGTTTTTCTAGATTATGTAATTGTGTTGTCTGGTTTGGTATGTTGATTAGTCATGGTTGTGCTTTTTATGTCTGGGTTGGTGTATACATTAGATTATGAAGGGTTGGGATGGAGGGGTGAGTGCTTGATGTTTCTTCTTCTTTTTGTGGATTAGAGGGTGGTTTGAGTTTTGTTTTAGTTTGATTATTGATCTTCATTAGAAAGAAGATGCTATGTGGTTGGAATAGGTGTGTTGTGCTTGAATATATATTTATTCGATGTGCATACAAAGTGATGAGCCCATGATTACCGAGATAGAATTACTACAACCAAAAGTTTTTATACTCTCGTCCGTGCAGATTGACAGACACATATCCTATCTATGAGACGACAGAGCAAGACAATCAACATCGTATTCATAATTCATGCTAAAAGTGATAGCAAGCATAACTAGGTGACTAGCACACGACACAAATCGTTCAAGGCGAAGAAAGGAAACAATTCATCGTATTTGGGAGCGTATCGTCGTATTGTATGTCGCAAATTAAAAAAAAAAAACATCCTGAGTTGGTCCCCAACCCCCGTGGAAAAGCATAGCGTATGTTATTCGGCCCTCAATTCCTCCCATAATCGAGGCATGAGCAGACAGCCAGAATGAAGAAGAACGATCATTTGGACGTAAGACCGATCACGGGCTTCTTGTTTGTTTCTCCTAGTCTCGCTTCATATGCCTTCAGTGGATGAAGCCCCGCTCGTTGCCGGAACAAGCTCAACATAGGGAGGAACAGTTCCTGCCCCTCAAATTTATTTTTCTCGTCCTTCTTAACTGCATCAGGTGCCTTATAATGCTCCTCGATTTCTTCCCAGGTGAACCACTTCCATCCAAGACATTTATCTTTCTCCATGAGCTATGGAAAATTGGGTTGTTAGTGTAAACTCCAAGGGTATATGAGTGACCCAGCTTGAGACTTACCACAGGCTCTTTTTGGTCACCCTCAAGTTTGGCCGCAAAAAAGTTGGTAGTGTAGTGCTTATTCGCCTCCGGGAAGAAATCATTTGTAACAGTGAGGAATTCGAGGTCGGAGAATTCTAAGGCCGTCTCTTCTCTAACTTCACGCCCTGTGCACTCTTCGAAGTCTTCACCAAACTCCATTGAGCCTCCAGGGAGACCCCAGGTGTCTGAAAATATTAGTATGCTTGGTCAACGTATATAGGAGCTTAGAGGGAGGGGATCACGGAAATCTCAACGTGGGGAACTTGGGGAAGAGGGATGAAGAAGCATACTTTCACCATGGCTGCCCATTCGGCGTCCCAGCACGAATTGACCTTTGTCATTAAAGACGAAGACATTGACGCCGGTTCTGACGACTGGCAGGTTGTTAATAGTACTCATTGCGATTCGAAATGATAAGCAAAGACGATCGGTGAGTGTTTGGATAGAGTGTAGGAATGAAAGTCTTTTGGAAAGATGAAATGTGCAAGTACTGTGCTGTGTGATGGGAGCAACTGTGGAAACGAGAGAGGGATGGAGGGTTCTTTTATATCTTTTATATTGTATAGAACGTTGTAGTTCCCGGTGCAGGAGAACAAGTTCCAGCCTTCGTAGGCTGTGAATCCAGCCTGGAGGAGGTTACCTGGACCTGCGAGAGAACCAATCAGAGCATCACCACTGCCCCAATCGTGTGTACGACATCAGACCGGAAATAATCTTTCTTTTCATGATCGTCGACATGGATGACCCCACCATGAAAGAGCCTCGCTGTGCCAAGCCACACTGCTGACCGATCTCTTTCTGCAGCTGAATCCACTGGTGTCACGGTATACTTCGTTTCACAATGAGGTGGCTATATATAGTCAGGAGAGTACCCGGCTTGTTGTACATATAAAGAAGAATCCGACGAATGCAGCGCTGAATCCCTCATGGTGTTTTGAAGTTCCCGATCCCATGACATCTGGGAGGAATTCTCCAGACCATTTTCATTGTGAGGGCGGTGATACTGAGCGGTTAAATGAGACAAACACAGGAAACCCGTCAAGTTCAATGGCGGATTCCACGGAGTAAATCGTGGAGATCAGTAGGTTAGTGAGCAAACCAGGGTGTTTTCCATGAGACTAACCTGGGGGATTACGAGTTAAGAGGCTGAAAAGTGGCGAAAGCCTGGAACCTGCCGCCGCAGAGCCCTCGCCTTCTCCGGAATTAAAAGGTCCCAGCTGACCAGGTGCAAATTACCCAGATTAAACCCACTATCCCTAGGCGGCATGGCAATACGTCGCTGCCTTCTCTCGGTGGTTCATGATTTGATATCGGTTGGGGTGAACAAGAGAGGAATATTGTACAATTGATCTTCTGTAAAATACAATCCCAGAAACCCTCACTCTACAGACGCTCGAGTAAGGACCGAATAAATGTCGAGAGCTGCTCTAGCGGCACATTCTCCCGGAGGTCGTCCAGTTGACGGCACTGCACTTCTAATGTTTGCTCCTTCTTCCACCCTTTACCGACCACAACTATGATGGGGTAGCCGATCAGGTCGGCGTCTCCCAATTTCCACCCCATTTGCTTGTCTCGGTCGTCAAGAATGACATCGACTGGAGATGCTGGGTTGGAAGTAAGCGTGTCGTATACCTTCTCGGCTTCTTCCTCCAGGCCCTTCGCAGGAACCACAATAACCTCAAACGGAGCCACCGCGCGGGGCCAGTTGAGCCCCTTGGAGTCCGCTCGACTGTCAGCAACCGCCGTGATCATACGTGAAACACCGATTCCATGACAGCCCATTTGCATGGGCACGACCTGATTTTCCGAGCTGCCAGATGAGGATTGGTCCACCATGACAGAGGCTTGAAGAACTTCACTGTATCTTGTGCCAAGATGGAAGGTGTGGCCCAGTTCAATCGCGACCTGGGTCTTCACATGACCTTGAGCGCATTTGGCGCACTTGTCGCCGTCTTGAACCTTGACAAGGCTGAGGCCATTGTTTGTGCCAGGGAACCGATCCAGCATAGAGTAGTCAATGTCTTCCACCTTGCAGTTTGCTTGATCCAGCAAGTCGCTCAGCGGTGGGCGTTTGTACACTCGCACCTGCGAGTCATACAAGTCCACTACACGGTAAGGGCCGGATGCCTTCCTAGACTTCACTTCAGTTGCCCACTGTTCTAACGGGTTCTCTATGCTGAGGTCAAGATCGATTCCTGCAGCGTTGGCTACGGACTTGACAGCATGGGAGTTCACTTCTCTTTCCACTGGCTCCTGACCTTCGCCTTGCATGGAGAATTTCGGATACCATCCTCTCAGAAGCGTCCGTTTGTCCTGGGAAATGGACATCCAGAGACCTGTAGAAATGGTCGGTGCTGCTTCAGGTGATATATCTCCAGTGTCAAACCCTGCACTGGCCTGGGCGCTTTCATTGTCTCCAAATTCATGAATTTTCCCGTCTGCAAGCTCGTCATTATAGACAGTGTCGCAGCTAGTACAGCTGATGACCGTGTCTTCTCCTTTGGAGCTGGGCACGTGGAATTCGTGACTTAGGTTGCCGCCCATATTGCCGGAATCTGCAGCAGCAACCAGATAGGGTATCTTCAGGTCGTTGAATAGTCGTATATAAGCAGCTTTCACAGATGTATACGTCTTCAAAGCTTCTTCCACGGTGCAGTCGAACGTGTAGAGATCCTTCATGATGAATTCTCGCCCACGAAGTAGACCTTGTCTTGGTCTTGCTTCATCACGATACTTCCTCGCTACATCGTAAAATGTCAGCGGATAAACCGTCGATTGTTACATGCAAACTCACAGATTTGGTATACTCGTATAGGTAGATCTCTGTACGATTTGGCCAGACTGCCCACTAGAGTGGTAATTTCCTCCTCGTGAGTAGGAGCAAGAAGGTAGCGAGATTCTTTCCTGTCATGGAATCTGAATACCTAGCATACACTGTTAGAGGCCTTTAATTTGTAAGAGATCAGAGATATTACTGTACCTCTGAACCCTCCCCTAAGCGTCCTGATCTCTCCCAGAGTTCCTGGGAAGATATGGACGACAACGAAACTTTTGACGCTCCTAAAATCACATCAGAGAACTGGAATTCTAGTGCAAGACGCATAATGGGGCATACCAACTGAACGCATATGCTTGTCAATCAGACGCTCAAGCTTGTCTTGCACACGCAATCCTAGCGGTAACATATGGAATATGCCTGAATAAGCCTATACAGAGTAAGAATTGGCTATGTTATACAGGTGGAGTCTACTACCTGTCGGAGAAAGCCTCCCCGAACCAAGAGGTCATTCACGTCCTCTAGCCCGTTGTCAATTGCTGTCATTCAGGGTTAACTGCATCTAGAAATACCTTTTTCACCCTTGACATTCTTCTTTGAGATACCTCCCGTTGGAATCCAGAAGTTAGACACCCGAGTTCGGCCATCAGTCTGCCATTGTTAGTGAGTAAATCTTGTGGCAAGTAGGTGCGCAATGGCCTACATGGAAGCTGCATCTTGGAGCTCTATGGAATCGCAAGACTCCACAGTATGCTCTATATGCGCCGGAATAGCGGCCCGGGATCGGGCGAAAACCGGATATCATGAATTATAGAGTGTAGCGATTGGCAATCCTTCTAAGCCTTTATACAGGGAAATTTATTCAGAGCGGTAAACAGAAGGCAACTTTTATCTCCAATATCATGGATATGATTAGCTGGAGATCTAAATAAAAGGTCCGTATTGAAGGCTTTAGTTGGCCCGTGCACCGGGACGCCGACCAACGGTGAAACGGTTTCTCCGGCGGCCTCGAGCGTCCCCATAATTTTTTTGGGTTTTCGGGCGGCAGAAAAAAAAGTAGGATAAAACCATTCCGACGATACTGTATTTTGGCCAGGAAATTGTCCCATCATGGCCAAAGGAAAGGGGAAGCGCTCCTCTGGAGCGACTGCCGTTGCCCCAGAAGGGGGGGTTAATGACTCCAACGCTGGTGCGGATGCTGTCCCTCAGTTTGAGGAGAGTGCGTTTGCCGCTTGCGCCAGAAGATCGAACAGAGATTGAAAGACCAGAACACTGCTAAGCAAAAGCCAAAGAATAATAAGAAGGCTGCTTCCAACGATACCCCGAAAAAGAACAACGAAGCCACGTTTAAGCCCGACACAAAACGAACCGATACCGACAAGAATAACAAGGGCAAGAAGCGGGACCGCAATGGCGAGGTGATCGCAAGGGAGGACAAGAATGCCTCCGGAAAGGAGAAGTCGTCGAAACCCAAGGAAGCGGACCAGAGCGATGCTCTGCGACAGGAGATTTTGGCCCTGGGGGGTACCGAGGAAGACTATAACATGCTTGCGGGGGTTGATTCTGAGTCCGAAGTTGAAGATGCTAAGAACGCTTCCAAGGGTTCCGGTAGCAAGTCTGTGGAGGATGCACTAAGAAAGGAGTTGTCGGGTATTTTGGCTGCCGCTGGTCAAGTTGTTCCCGATGATATTGCCGACGACGAGGAAGACGAGGCGGGGCAGGAACTGGAGGAGGAGGAAGAGGAGGAAGGAGAAGACGACGACGAAGACATGGAGGATGACGAGGCCGATATTGACGCTGAAGATGATAATGAAAGTGAAGAGGAAGACCAAGAAAGCTCCGATGAGGATGTTCCTCCAACCCCAGTTGCTAAGGAGACTAAAAAAGAGAAGGCTAAGCCATCCGCGGAGCCTCCTCTCCCCAAGGAATACAGCAAACTTGTGAGTTTATCATGGCTTTGCTAGCAGATGCCATTCTAACCAGATAATAGGCTGTCCCACCTAGATCCGACTGGTTCATGACCGAACTTCCTTCGATCTCCGCGAAACAGGCGAACACCTTGCCCAAACACCTGATTGATCGTGTTCATAACTACGCCGTATCCCTGCTCGAGGAGGAATCCAACATGTATTCCGAAGCGCAGAAAACTCTGGCTTCCTCTTCTCACAAATTCTACACGACTATTATGTCCACCGGTACTCTTAGTGATAAGATTTCGGCGTTGACACTTGCTATACAGGAGTCGCCTGTGCACAACGCGAAATCTCTGGAAAACCTTATCGCTCTGGGAAAGAAGCGCAGTCGTGCTCAGGCGGTAGAAGTTTTGAGGACCCTTAAAGATATGTTTGCCCAGGGCACGTTACTTCCGAACGACCGTAGGCTCAGGTCTTTCGCGAACCAGCCATCGCTCATGGCTGCATTCCAAGGGGCAGGAAGCAAGTGGTCTGAAGGAAATGCCCTTCCAAATGGTCTTCAGAAGCGCCACCTTATCGTTTGGGCATTTGAGCACTTCCTGAAGGAACAGTATTTCGAGGTCCTCAAGATTTTGGAAGTATGGTGCAATGACGAGATTGAGTTCTCTCGTTCCCGGGCCGTGAGCTACGTTTACGAGCTGCTCAAGGAAAAACCTGAGCAGGAAACAAATCTTCTACGACTGTTGGTTAACAAACTTGGCGATACTGCCAAGAAGATCGCCTCTCGAGCTTCCTACCTTTTGCTACAACTCGAGCAAGCACACCCATTGATGAAGCCAACCATCATCAAGGCAGTCGAGGAGGTTCTTTTCCGTCCAGGTCAAAGCCAGCATGCCAAATATTACGCCATCATCACCCTGAACCAAACTGTCTTGAGTACGAAGGAGGAGCAAGTTGCGGCCCAACTCCTTGACATCTATTTCGCGCTCTTCGTTGCCTTCTTGAAGCCCACCAAGAAGAACAAGTACCAGTCGGGTAAAAAGCATGCCAAGGGCGCCAAGCTCAACAGAAAGGCCCAGAAGGCCCTGAAGGAGGAAGAGAAGGGTCAGGCTCAGCATGAGGAAATGCAAGAAAAGCTCACTTCTGGTGTTTTGACCGGTGTGAATCGGGCGTATCCCTTCACCAGCTCTGACTCGGAACGGTATGTAGTTTCTCTTCAAATCCCTAGGGCGGTTATAGCTAATCCATGCACAGACTTTCCAAGCACGTCGATACCTTGTTCCGCATCACTCATTCGTCCAACTTCAACACCAGCATTCAAGCCCTTATGTTGATCCAGCAACTGACATCTTCCCACCAAATTGCGGCTGATCGTTTCTACCGGACATTATACGAATCTCTTCTGGACCCACGGTTGGCCACGTCTTCAAAACAGGCACTCTATCTTAACCTATTGTTCAAGGCTTTGAAGAGCGACGTGAACGCTCGACGTGTCAAGGCCTTCGTGAAGCGTATTATACAGGTGCTTGGCCTGCATCAGCCGGCCTTCATCTGTGGCGTCATGTATTTGATTAGGGAATTAGAGAAGACGTTCTCTAGTCTTAATTCCTTGTACGATCAGCCCGAGGACAATGAGAGTGATGATGAAGAGGTGTTCAGGGATGTTCCTGATGAGGATGATGAAACGCAAGAACAGCCTGAAGCCCAGCCAAAGAAGCCATCAAACCGTTACGACCCTCGCAAGCGAGACCCGGAGCACAGTAATGCTGATAGGACATGTCTCTGGGAACTGGTGAGTACATCCCTTTTGCTATATCATTCTTTATACGTTATATACTGATACTGTGTTTGATAGCTGCCTTATTTGTCACATTTCCATCCGTCCGTTTCGGTCAATGCGGCTCAGCTGTTAGAACACAAGACTATGAGCGGAAAGCCGGATATGACGATACACACATTGATGCACTTCCTCGACCGCTTTGTATACAAGACGCCGAAGGCCTCTGCCGCTACGCGGGGTGCTTCTATCATGCAGCCCCTTGCCGGCAGTGACGCGCAAGACCGGTTGGTGTCCGGTATTAAACAGAGTCAGGAAGTTCCGCTTAACTCCGAGGCCTTCTGGAAGAAGAAGTCCGACGAGGTGGCCGCGGAGGATGTCTTCTTCCACGAGTACTTCAACCGTGTCGACAAGGACAAGGATAAGAGCCGCAAGAAGGCCAAGGATCCCGTCGAACATGCTGAAGAGGATCGCGAGCTCAGCGATGCCGAGTCGGAGATCTGGAAGGCACTGGTGGACTCGAAGCCCGAAGTGGAAGGAGCTGATAGCGACGATGATCTTGACTTGGATGACCTCGAGTCTGCCTATGATCAAGATGAGGACGAGGAGGAACAGAGTGGAGACGAGGGAGTCATCTTCAACGACGAGTCTGACGTGGACATGGACGACTTCGAGGAGGAGGCTTCCGAGAAGCCAGCTACCAAGTCCAAGGCCAAGAAGACCGAAGATACATTCGACGAGGATGATGACTTCGACATGGACGTTTCTGACGACGAAGCCTTCCTCGACAGCGACGAGGACCTACCCTCGGACGTGGAACTCGGCGGCGGAGTGGAGCTCCCGAAGGAGGACGACAAGTCGGATCAGAAGAAGAAGAAACGCAAGCTCAAGCATCTGCCGACCTTCGCCTCGGCGGACGACTATGCGGCCCTGCTGGCCGGGGAGGACGAGGGCATGTAAGGGGGAGATTGTACAGCTGTGGAGCAACGCGATGTTCATACTACAGATACCACAAAAAGTCTATTTCAAGGCCTTTTCTTCAACATAAGTCTATCCTACTGGGAGCGTAGAGACCCGCGATCGTAGCAACCCATGCTCTGCACAAGAAATAAACAAGCAAGGTACACCATGGCATGTTCCAGACCATTCCCATCCGGAAATAGACTCCCAAATCAGGTGATATGATATACATTAGTACGTCCCTGAACAACTGAAACCAACCAGCAAGTAGACTCCAGGCCCTAATAAGTTAGACAGGTACCTGACCAAGCTGAGGGTGCTGCAACAGAACGCCAAAACAAAACCCCCTTGGAAAGAACCTAGCAGGAGACCAAATCTAGAACCCGAGCGCCACATGGTTCTCGAACATGGGTCGCCTCTATTACATCATCGTGGCATGAAATTGCGACTGAGAGCTTCTTTGCTGACATGAATAAATGAGCTTATTCACGGAGATAAATACGATTGAGTCCAAATCTGCTCACAGTGAGATTATGCTGGCGGGTCACGCCATTCGCTCTACGCAAAGTAAGCATCCCAAGGCTTCCAGAAGGGCAGTGATTGACTGCGCCCGTGGGGATCACGCCATCTGCTAGTGCATAACGTGCTCAAGCTTAAGCCAACACGAGAAAAGCAATAATCATCGACCGTCAAGGTTGGTCGTATACAGAAAAGGGGAGCTGGTGCGAAATTTAATACTAGTATCGGTCCGTTGTGTAACTGGCCTAGCCTACTGTGTATGTAAGGTGCAACTCCAATGTCTTGAGTAGGTTTGGGGGAGCGGTTCAGATCGGTCGAGGTGCCCGAAATTCGCGCAAACAGAGAAAAGCATAAACATTAAAGAACGCATTCCATATTGCCTACAGTTCAAGCTGGGTGTAAGCGAAGGGGTTGATAAATAAAATACACAAACAGAATAATAGAAATAGAAATAGAAATAAAAAAGAGATTCGAATGAAATCAATGTATTCTGTTTCGCAAGTACTATAGTCCGGCAAAGGCAATGGCTGTTACTGGATAAGCACGGGACAACGTCTTCGGTTGAGGCCAAGAACCAAGTGGGGCGCATCCGCTATGAAGGTCAAGAAAAGTTCAGTTTACGGATGCGGGGCTCTCAACTGGTTCGGATGGGCTCCGCCATCAGCGCCTTCCGCGGTAATGATTGGCAGCGGGGGGGCTCGTGGGTTGCATCGGGAGTTGGTCCAATGCTAATTCCAGAAGTGGAGGCATGGTTGTCCATGATTTCCTGACTGCATGTAAGTAGTAGTAATTAAATCTCCTGTGTAGTTGCCTCTGCATACACAGTATACTGTAAAAGACTCTGGTGATCGTTGCCCGGTAAAGTCTTTCCCAGCTAGTAGTCTGTAGTTCTCTCAGATCTACGGCAACACCCTGGTTGGACTCCCGTGACCCGTGGTCGGGAAGCTTGAGTTACTTTGGCAGTTTTAACTCGGTACCTCGAGAGCATAATCTTACCCAGGAGCGATTCCTGCCCTAACAAGTAAGAAACGGGACGCGCAAAGAGCCGACTCTCAGCGTACCGTCGATGGTCCACACTGCCATGAGCACGTCATGGGGTTGAGGCATCCAAGTTGACTTGATCTTCGGTATCGCCGTCCGACTCATTGCGTCGATGGTCATTCCACCGGATCCACTGCGGTGGACGCTAAGCCCAGAGAAGCTTAAGCTGGATTTCTGGAAACGGACTTGCCCTGCGCCTTTATCAGCCGCTGAGGTCAATGCAAGATCGAAATCAATTAAAACAGAAAAAAAAGAGGAAAGGATCGTAGAAATTAATGTGAATTTAAAAAAAATGTTAATCGAATAGGAATCATGATAAGGTTCATCTAATTTCTTACTCGCTGGTTTACTCTTTGTTTCTTTTTCTTTTTCGTTTTTTTTTTTTTTACTTCGCCTCTTCCATCTGACAACCATCACAGTGGTTGTTCTTCTTCCCTTCTCTCTCCCGCCTCTTAGTGTCTTGGGACGATTGCTTGGACGCCTCCAAGCTCTCTTGGTTCGCTTTGCCCAGCATTTGCCATACGCATTCGACGCTAATTAGCCGAATAGATTTTTCTTTCTATTCCCTTTCACCTTCGTTCATTTTTGCCTAGAAAGGTTTACAGATTCCTTCTGGTATAAATCGGTTTCCGTCCCTAAGGTAAGTGGTTTTGGTCCCACCTGGCTGGCGGTGTCCTGTCACACATCCATCCGCTCCTCTGGGCGACTATTGACCTGCGATTATCTAGATCTTCTGTCTGAATCTTCAACGTGAGGAGCAGTACATGCATCCAAAGGCCTCCATTTCTACCTCTACAACCCACTCCACCACTTCCCTGCAACGGCGGTCTGTCCGCTCAAAATGTCTGCGCCCCATACATCCAAGGCCCTTGACGGGCGTGGGGACGAAGACCGTCAGTCCTTTGCCTCGGACGGAGCGGATTCTCCCGATAAAATGAAGGATCTCGAGAATCAGCGTCAGCCCGGAGTGCAGTCCGATTCGGACACAGATGATGTTGGAAGACAAATCGAAATGGAGGCGGGTAACTCCATCAAATACCGGACATGTAGTTGGCAAAAGGTGCGTTCGCATGTGGAACAGGGTATCTTCGTGGCTTGGTGCTGATCAGGATGGACGAACAGACGGCCGCGTTGCTCTTTTCCGAATACATCTGCCTGGCTATTATGTCATTTCCCTGGTCTTATTCCGTTCTCGGGTTAGTTCCGGGTTTGATTCTGACCGCGGTTATTGCTGGGATTGTGCTGTACACTTCCCTGATTATCTGGTACGTGAATGCGACTCTGCATTCCGTGAAGCCAAGATTAACAGTTGTCTTAGGAAATTCTGTCTGCGCCACCCCCACGTTCGCGATGTGTGTGATATCGGCCAGCATCTCTTCTGGGACTCGAAGATTGCCTGGTATCTGACCGCAGTGATGTTCTTGTTGAACAATACCTTTATTCAGGTAACTTCGCCCAATATCATCTCAAGACCCAGGATCGGGTGAGCCCTAATACTGTTCTAGGGTTTGCATTGCTTGGTCGGTGCTGAGTGGCTCAATACGATCTCTTCTCATGGGACGTGTACTATCGTCTTTTCCTTGATTACGGCCATTGTCTCGTTCGTCTGCTCACTGCCGAGAACATTCAGCACGCTGTCCAAGATTGCCACTTTCTCCGCGTTGTTCACGTTCATCTCGGTGATGTTGGCCGTTATCTTCACAGCTATTGAAGATCACCCTGCGGGCTACACTCCCGCCAAGGGCGATCCAATTGTCACCGCAGTCCCCGTGGCCGGGACCACGTTCGTCTCGGGCGTCAACGCTTTTCTGAACATCAGCTACACGTTCATTGGCCAGATCACACTTCCGAGTTTCATCGCCGAAATGAAGGAGCCGAAAGACTTCTGGAAATCTGTTACGGCGGTCACTGTTGCGGAAATCATCGTGTTCAGCTTGGTGGGCTCGATCGTGTATGCTTACACTGGCAACCAGTATATGACAGCCCCGGCGTTTGGCTCTATCAGCAATGAGGTGTACAAGAAGATATCCTTTTCGTTCATGGTCCCGACCTTGATCTTCCTGGGAGTCTTGTACGCCTCGGTATCGGCCCGTTTCCTCTTCTTCCGTCTGTTCGAGGGAACGCACCACAAGGGTAATCATACTGTCGTCGGATGGGCTGCCTGGGCTGGAATCCTAGCTGTTCTGTGGATTGGGGCATTTATCATTGCCGAGGTGATCCCGTTCTTTTCCGATCTGCTTTCGATCATGAGCGCACTGTTTGATTCATTCTTCGGGTTCATCTTCTGGGGTGTTGCCTACCTCCGGATGCGACGTGAGGACTACGGACCGGATTTCTACAAGAATCGGGGATTCCGGGGCTGGATTGGCATGATCGTCAATGTCGGCTTAATTTTCGTCGGCCTATTCTTCTTAGGGCCTGGAACCTATGTAAGTTCGACCTTCTCCGCCATGCTATCCATTGGTCATGACTAACGATCTCTGCAGGCTGCTGTTGATAGCGTAGTCCTGAACTATCAAGCTGGAACTGTGGGTAGTCCTTTCTCCTGCGCTAATAACGGATTGTAATGAGTTTACGTTGTTTGATCTAAATTTCCATTCTTTGCGGGGCTGATCACAAATGTGTGTCTTCCGACGTGTACGACCCTGGAGGTTTTTAAGAAACCGTGGGAGGATTTCTCTTATTTTTATCATTCGGGTTCGCAGCACTCTCTGTATGGCTGACTACCTATTCGTGTTATTATGGTAATGAAAGATATCATCACTGTAGCGATGAAGCAAAGTCTCTCGCCGACAGATGGCATGGTATGCGCTGAGGTTGTCTGCATGCTGAAGGCGACATAACACTCGCCAGTGGTACACGGTAGAAGATACCCTTACCACGCGTTGGGCAGAAGATTCCAATTTGGCCTATTAATTCTCACAATCGTCGTAGATGCTTTATCTTGCGTAAATCGAGCAAGTAATCCGCCGAACGGAGCGGAGACGACTTACCCGCGGACTTTGCCCTATCGGCATGTGACTTTCCCGCTATCGTTCATACTCCGCAATAATTCTATCCTGTCGCCCTCTGTTCACGAACTTCCTTCTGTAAATAATCACATCGAATCGTTTCAAAATCTCATCATGTCAGCTGTAAGACCTTTGCGACGAGGTATCAACCTCCTGGGATCGAAATCGCTTTCCCAGCCCGTTTCTATCGCCGCCAATGGCTCTACTCTCCTTCCGCGGCAGTTGACAGCTCCGCTCCACCGCGGTCTCCGCACTCCGACTGCTGCACGCCCACTCCTCCGTGTCAGCTCTGTTTCTTCCTCTAATGGTGGTGTGCGATTTGCTTCGTCCGCGGCTCCCTCGGGGCCGCTGAGACAGACTCAGCTCTATGACCTACATCTCGCCCGGGGTGCCAAGATGGTGCCCTTTGCGGGGTTTGACATGCCGCTGCAGTACTCCGATCTCAGCCATGTTGAAAGCCACAAATGGACCAGAGAAAAGGCAAGCTTGTTCGATGTGAGCCATATGTACGTACACACCCATGAATACCCCTGTATACATAAAATGAAAGACTAACGCCAATTCCAGGGTTCAGCACGAACTCAGTGGACCCGGCGCAATCGAGCTCCTGATGAAGATCACACCATCTTCCCTCGACAAGCTCGGCCACAACCAGTCCACCCTCTCTTGTTTGCTCGAAGAAGGCACCGGCGGTATCATTGATGATACTGTCATCACCCGTCGTACTGACGAAACCTTCTACTTCGTCACCAACGCTGGCCGGCGTGACGAGGATCTCGCCTTCCTGGAGGCCGAGATCTCCGCCTACAAGCAAGCCCACGGCGCCGACAGCCTCAAATGGTCCATCCTCGAAGACCGCGCCCTGGTCGCCCTCCAGGGCCCCCTCGCAGCTGAGGTCCTCCAATCCTACGTCCACGGTTCCGGCCCCGAAACAGACCTCAGCACCCTCTACTTCGGCAACTGCCGCGAACTCTACCTCACCCTCCCCGACGGCTCGCGCACCCCGCACCCTCTCCTCATCTCCCGTACCGGCTACACCGGCGAGGACGGCTTCGAAATCTCCATCCCCACAGCCGGCTCCCCCTCCCTGCCCGTGCAAGTCACCGAGCTCCTCCTCACAAACGCAGAGCAGGTCCGCCTCGCCGGCCTCGCAGCCCGTGACTCCCTCCGTCTGGAAGCCGGCATGTGTCTCTACGGCCACGACATCTCCACCGCCCAGACTCCCCCCGGCGCATCCCTGGGCTGGGTTGTCGGTAAGGACCGCCGCGACCCCGCAACCGCCACCTTCAACGGCGCCTCCGCCATCCTC